GTACATTCGACGGAAAGTTGGGACCTGGCGCCAGGGAGGCGGCGGGATGTGACGCTTTTTCCGTAGCCATCCGTAGGACAGGACAGGATGCTTTTCCATGTTACATCATGTTACATCTACATGGATATTCGTGGATACAATATGGATACAATATGGCATTAAGGTTTTGGTGTTTTCGAATGCTTTATGTAGCGACCTGAAAAAGAAAGGTCGTGATCATGGCCACGGGCAAACCACACCTCCACTTTGTGGAGACTTCTCGTCACCTGATCGCTCTGCGCTGAACAGGTTCCTTCTCGTGCCCATCATTTTGGTTTTCTTTTTGTCATTCGAGCTGCATTTGAAAATGAGCTCAAGTGCACTTCCCCAGGTTGCTTGATGTTGCTTGTACATACTACTAAGTTCGGATGTGCCACATTCCTTTCCACTCTGAAGCCCCATGACCTCCCACACAAACCAGTCACACATTTCCATTATTTTCCATGCACCCCCTACGTTTGCGGCGTGAATCAGATCATCATCACACCCACAACGGTTCAAGTGCCTTCGGCCACCTGGGAAATTACCACCAGCCTTGGCCACGGCAGAAACATCTTTCCTACTTGGACACCTAGAAACTCGCATTTCACTTTGTGCTCTTGCGTTTGGCCCGCCAAAACTGCTTCGGGCCTGTGTAGCACACAAATCAGCAGATGTTGCGCGTTCTATGTGCATCTGTATATGTATGTAACTAATTATAACACACACACACATTATATATATATATATATACACATTAAAAACGCATCCACGCATGTTTTTGCAATAATATCAAAATATCCATATAATTCCATATGTATATATACCCTGAGAGTCCAATGTTGATGTTTACCTACGCATTTCACTAATGTCGAAGTTTACCTACGCATTTGTGTAATGTCGATGTTTACTCATCAATGTCGATGTTTACCCTTGAGACATGATGTGCAGCAAATTTATCAACCTTTTGTACTGCTGCCGGATCTTTATCTTGGACGTGCTTTATTAGTCAAACTCATGCGATATCACTTTGAATCACATTTGACACAGAATTTCCCATAGGATGTTGTTTTGTTTTCACTCAACGATACATATATGTTTGCATGAGAGCAGGTGTTTTGCCCTAGATGCCCCCAAACTCAATCTTGGAAACAAAAGACATCATGGGACAGCCGTTCTTGACAAGCAATTTGGATGCGGTTGGCATCCGGATGACCAGACTGGTTAAAAAAAAACAAGAAAAAACACAAAAACACATTATATTCTAGGGGTGGCTCTTTTCCTCGGGTAAACATCGCATTTCACGGGTAAACACCGCATTTCACGGGTAAACACCGCATTTCACGCAAACTTCACGGGTACTTCACGCTATTTCACGCTCAAGAATCTAAAGATTTTGGGGGGTTTGTCTGGTTTTTCAGTGGCCACACCGAGTTACCGATTTTTTTGGACATTAATCTGGGGCATGAGCTTCTGGCAGTGGTATATGTCCAAACCGTTTAAGGTCCCATGTTTTGCCCGTGAACTCTGACAGTATATTTGCAAATAGGGTTCCTTGATTTGTTTCCTGTCCGTAAATTCAATACCTGTAGGATCTTGTAGGTTTCAAATTCAGTTCCAAGGGCCCTACATGCTGGGAAATTGGCATGATAAATACATGTATGATGATTTTGCACTTCATTGCGCTTCCAAGGTCCGTAGATTTCTGCACAGGGGTTAAACATCGACATTGGGAATGTCGATGTTTAACCAACCCAAACATCAACATTGTCCGCGTAGGAGGTAAACTTCAACATTGACGCCCAGGGTATATATATCCCATTTCTGTCTCTCTCCCTCTCAACAAGTTCGAGAGAAGCTTGAGGTAAAGGAACCTCACGGAACCTCTCACCTCCATCCAAGTGATGTCAATATCTACTGATGGATCACCTGGATTCACTTGGAAACTCAACCCTTCAATCAAGTCCAGAAAGGTTGAAGCGTGGCACATTACTAACAAGCACCTTGACGCTTAAACCCCAATTTCAGTCAACTTCATCCCTAAGGCCACTTACCGATCTTGCAGTAACAGTTTCCAAACGGCCTTGAAATCTGCTGGAGGCAGTGAGGCAACTGAGGCCACTGACTCCGAGGCTCTGCAAGCACGATTTGCTAGGTTTTGCATAGTATACCGCGCCAGCCTTCGTTGCATCATTTGCAACGACTGCTGGGGACATGCTACGCAATGCTGTGCACAACCACTGCAGACTGTTGTGAGCAAAATGTTATCAAATCCCGATATATCCCGATATCAATTTGCTTTGAAACACAACGCCAAAAATTCAATCCATTCTTGCATCGGTATAGCATCTAAGAGTCTGGCCGCCACACTGCGCTTCCGAAAATCCTGCTCCGTCCTTGGCCGAACAAAATGCTCATGCTACAGATTTTCCAAGGATGGTAGCATCCTCCGGATGCATGGCTTCAGACTTGGCAAAGAATGATGCTCGGGGACCCAGCGCGGTGTGCCGCAGTTGCAGATTGTCTGCCATCAGCCAATCCTTTGCCCTGTGCCATAGGAGCATTTAGGAGCACGGAAAAGCAAGAAGAACACGGGAGTGGATATCCAATGATATCTACTGCACCACCTGGGTCTCAAATCACAGATGCTCACCATTACACCATTACTCACCAATCTCTTACGCGTTGACAGCGATCTGCCCCTTTCAACTGGCGTTGTCACTGCTGGCCTTCGCTGAGCCATAACAGAGTGGACCTGCAGCCACTGGGCATACCAAGACAGCATAGAGAGCAACAATTTTCACTTGTTGCAGGAGAAGGGATGGAAAAACTATGGAAAACCAATGGAAAACCAATAATTATGAGCTTATGGGCTTCATTGATTCGATGATTCAAGCAGTTGGCTATTTCACTGACATTTCCAAGTGCCTTTGATTGCAGGAACTAGCTTGTCATGACCTTCATGATTTATGTTGGCATGAGTATGCTTAACTTGTCAACTCGCGTCGACTCACCATCTACTATAGGTACTAGTACGAGTATCTTAATGTATCTCTGTATCTTAATACAGTACTTAGGTGCTCACCGCTGAACAGCTCAGCAATTCCACACAGTGCCAAAGAATGATGACTCGCGAGGCATGTCCACTGAATTCAAAGTGCTCGGTCCACAGTGAAGGCTTCACTCTTTGGTCAGCTAAACTCAGAGCATTCTGCCTCTTGACTGCAACATTTTGGCCAAATGGCACCACCATACGGATGTTGTGTGAGTCAGTCATTTACCATCTTCACTTACAGTAACATGCAAGCTGCTCTGATGCTGATATCTGCACCTCTGTTCGAATGTCTGGCTCCACTGCCTCTGGCGGTCGCGACTCGAACCTTATGGCAAGATGTGGTAAGAGCCCCAAGGTCTTTTGCCAACAATCCTTCACATGCGTCACGGACGTTCGATGTTAAATTATGTTCAATCATGTTATATCGCATGTTCAATTCAGGTAGCTAGAGTATCCACACGAGTTTCACTTCATTTTTAAGCTACCACTGTTCATCCAGCCCACGAATTCATAATTATGCCGTGTCTGATTTCGGCCAGTGGTTCGTGTTGTGACTTCAGCGATCCAAGGCAATGTCCCCTTCGGCAGTGGCTTGATCCTTCGCACGTGCTCGCTGCCTCGGCAAAGAACCATCGAAACAGCGTTTTTTCATATAGAAAACCGGTTCCCTCCTCAACAGACTCAGCCAAGCTAAAAGAAACAAGTCCTCGCAGTTCCTCCCCTATAGGCAGTACTCTCTCTCTCTCTCTGTGTCTCTTTATCTCTGTCTCTCCCCTCTCCCTCTCTCTCTAACCCTTTTTTGACTTCTGTTCTGGCAGATGTTGAGGGCAAAGGGCAAATCAAGCCTCAAGGCGTGCAAGGCCTACACATGTGCAGGTAAACACGCTAAGGGAGGCACTGCGCGGACTCGAGGATCTGTTCACAAGCCTTAGCCAAGCTGACGCACATCCTCAGAATGGGTGGTTTTCCACAGCATAAGATTCCAAAAATTAAACAAAGCACAACGGTCAGAGAGCAAGAGCATATGCATCGTAATCCATCTACTTATTGAGGCCCCTGCCAAACAGGCCGTGCTCTTTTAGCAAAAGGATCCTGGAGGGCCAGCTGGCAGCTCAGCACTCTAACATCCGGCCGTCAAATCAAGTAAAATGAATCAAAATGGTATGGTTCTACCAAGATTGCCCACAATTTTGCGATGAGAACCTGGTGACCGAGTGCATCCGAGTAATCACTATCCATCGCAACTTTAGGCCAGTTCTACGAAGCCAGAGCAACCCAAGCCCGTCATAATTAGGGAGCCATGCAGTATCTTCCAAGAAGTATAAGAGACATTTAATTTCACTTTGCGCATGCACTCTCAGAACATGTGGTGCGAGATGTAAATCATGAAGGAACAAACACGATTGCAACCAAACGGGAGGTATCAGCTGCATGTGGGTCTCCGCGCGCAAATGCGGTGTAAATGACCGGCCTCGTGTTGCACTGACTGACATATGACACTCCCACATTGTGGCACCACCAATGTAGTAAATGATAGTATATGAACTTATACCATTTTAATCCATTTTATGCGATTGAGCACAGGCTTACTCCCTAGAAGGGCGTCAAGTCAAATATGAGGCTTGCACAGGAATGGGCGCAATAATCCTCGGTGCGCTGGCAGTTGTGGCCAAAAAATACCGGCGTGAAATCTCCTCTGTTCATCACCCACATTGTTTCAATTGTTTCAAACGGACATTTTATGAGCTATCTTCCACGATGGGTGCAAACAAATCAAAGTTTGCTTGGAGGACTTGGTTCAAAACTTTCTAAACTCTTGCTTGCAAAGTGGATTGCTAACTCCCTCCCAATCCCTGTGGATCTCTCCCCCTCATCCCCATCATCCCCAATGAATTGCCACAGCCCACTGCCACACCCCTTTCTCGTCTCACGCATTGGACATTTGCAGCTCATCTTTGTGCTGCGCTTTTGCCTGCGATGGAGAGCCCTTCTGCACTCGGAAAGAAACTGTACTTAAGCCCTTACAGGAGTCAACATGACCTTGCTGCAATTGATTCAAGCAAAATATGCTTGGATCTGCCAGCATTTGAACATAGAACCCTGAGCATCATGCAGCGATTTGTCTTGAAAGCAGCATTTTGATTTTGAAAAGCGGAAGCCATTTAGTTGAAGAGACTGAGTAGACATGACATAAATAAACAAGAAGCAGAATCCGAACAAATATCCGTGGAATAATACCTCAATGAAAAATCCTGGAAGAATCCCATGCCCTGCCTGAAGAAATGCAAACGATGCTGCAATGGCGTAAAACACCAATGCTCCTTAGCATAGGACTCAATGACTCAATGATGCATGCCTTGAACACAAAAAAGAATGCGTTTTTGGACATGATCATCTTATGCACACGCAATACGACACCACCAAGATCACTCATACAACATCTCCGAAACACAAACGCAAACCATCGAACATCTGTACTAGATTTTGTCCTGTCAACATCTCACTCTTGCAGCTCGGTCGCCTATTGTGACCACATGATAGCCCTTCACTAGCCTCAAAAAACAAGATTTTACAGGCTTGAGAATGGACAACTCTTGAGTACAACAATTTTGGCACTGGCGGAACATGCGGCAGGTCATCCCACAAAGCGACCTATATGGAACAAAAAGAATAATTGTCTAAGAATCAAAAACCATGTAATCGTGACAAACATAATTTATAGCAGTAGAATACATCTATCTCTCTCTCTCTATCTCTCTCCAACGCCCCCGAAGGTTCAGCTAAGGCTGAAGGCGAGCTGTTGGCCAAACAAAAGGAGCCACAACGAAGGACTGGGCTGTACAAACACATGCTAGGAATTGGAATACAGATACATTACCAAATTACACCGAACTAAACAATTTGCTCTGCAAATGGCAAATGGCTTTGCACTTTGCATCAGGGGCATCATATAAAGCATTCTATTTAAAAAAAAAACATATCATATGTAGTGTCACATGAGATGAACAAAGATCGAAGCTTTGTCGCAAATTGAACCAAGATGCCCCAGGTGGTCGATCACCACTCCTCCCAGAAGAGGGATGAGCAGCTTTGCCAAATTTTGCCTCACAAGACATTCTGACTCTGACCACCAAAAAAAAATATGATTTGCATCATCTGTCGGATCTGTCGCATGGCACAATGATGCAATATGATGCAATAACAATCAATAACATGCATTTACCCCCTTGTAGCTGGTTGAAATCCGAGCTGCATGGCGAACTGGGTGGCACTCGCAAAGTGCTTGGCTTCTGGCACGCAGGACACAGCCTCTGTGCAAGTGGATTCTTGATGCAGGAAGAGGACATAAAACGCACAAAGATAAAAAATCATGAAAGGCACGGCACGAAGGGATACTGTATATATATAGTTTAAAAAAAAACAGCAAATGTCAGTAATTTCGTTCAAATTCAGAAGCTCTGCGGGACACGCAATTTCCTGCCAAGGGTCAATGCCATTGATGGCAGCAGTAGGAGCTGCACCGAAGAGCAGCAAACCCAGGTTGGCCATGCCGTATAGCAATGGCGAACCACCTTTTGGCTCTCAAACATTCAATATCATTGCACATCAGAATCATATCATATAACATCATATCATATCAATATATAATATCAATTATCAATGTGGGTTCACTAGGCCACCAAAAAAGTCAACTGTCAAATCTGTCAACTGTACCCAAGTGCAAATGCCCCTCTCACGAAGCTCTGGCCTGCGAAAGGTAAACAGCACCCGCACAAGAGGCTGAGAATCGCGCAAACAGCCTGAGGGGTCTCAAGTCAAAGCGCTGTCAAAGATTCTTGCCCTAAAAAGGCGTACTTTGATGTACTTGTATGAAGTGCAGTATAGTTACTATACGGATGAGGTCGTATCATGCTGTATCTTGTCACGCTGGAGACGTCGACTTGTCATAGTCTAGCCATGCCTAGGCCTCGCCGCGATGGTTCATTCCATTTCAGCCAAGAGACGGTCATCCCATTGGCTTTGCGATAGTTTTGGTATCCTCCCACACGGTTCAAATATGCAGCCTTGCAGCTTTCCAGTGGATGTCATGTCTGATTCGATCTGCTTCCAGCAGCCACGCTCTGGTATCATCGTTCTCTGACGTCTTATATATACGGTAACTACATTTAAATACCCTATGCTTCCAAAGGACATATCTGGTATAGTCGTTACGTGCTAGCCTATACCGGGGTTTTGGAGGCTATACCAGGATGTTTTCCTGTTATAGGCGAGCAGTTTTCCCAGTATAGGCTTTCATGAAATCCCTGTATAGGCGTTCATGATTTCCCTGTATAGGCGCTAAGCCCCTTGAGTCCATACGTATAGGCTGTGAACCATCCCCTGCGCAATCTAGATTGTATTTTGCAAGCTATTTCATTTGTGTGCGCGAACCCGACCTCGTGTTTGCTCATTGAAGCTGGGCACAAACAAACCGCCAAAAGTCAAAACAAACAGCCATCAAAAAAAACAAAAACGATTTCAGATTTTTTTGTGATCCCCGAATCCATGTCCCGGTATAGGCGTTCCACGTCCCACTATAGGCGTTCCACGTCCCAGCATGGGCGTTCCACGAGTTGTCCTCGGGTTGTCCTCGGCTCCCTGTGCTTTCAACATGTCATTTTTTTTCTTGCTGAAATTCTCTGAATCTTTCTGATATCCTGATTCAAACTCCCGAGCGCATGCTCGTTTCCAAGAAAAATCTACATCGTTTTTTTTCTGCTGGGCATTTGTGGACAATCCAAAGGGGTCTTAGCATATCCTATTACTATTCGTTGGGCCAGTATCCTGGTATATCCTGGTATAACCCTTAGGCCACTCCCGGTATAGTCGTTCGTGGCTTCCTGGTATGTCCGAGGTGTTATCCTGGTATGTTCGAGCGAAACCCGGTATGTTCGAGCATTCCCAGTATGTTCGAGGCTATACCAGATATGGTCGAGGAAGCATAGGGAATATACGGGTTTTTTAATATACGAACAGGTATTTTAGACTACCCCCGGAAAGATTTTCCTTGGCCCGCCCAGCCATTTAAGCATACGGAATACAATTCATTTAAACATAATACGGTAACTACATTTAAACATACGAACTGGTATTTCATACTACCTCCGGGGCCTCGCGGTCTGGCCCGCCCTCCACATATTTAAATGTTGTTACATGTTGTTACCGTATATATATATATATATATATACACCAGCAAGCTACTGATCCATGATGTTGTCTCTGTCAAGCCACTTAGTAGCCTCCAACTGTCGCAAGCATTCTTTACCTTCGTCCCCCCTGACATCATCTGCCGAAAGACTCCAGATAGGATTCCACCGATAGGCCCAACTGTGATGACGAGACTGACCTGAGGAACAGCTCTGAGCAAAAGTCAGAAGGTTGCGAATAAAAATTGCCGGCTAATTATGTGAAGCATATTAATTATTACTATTACATACTACGAGTATTGCATACTATTACTACTTGTCATGTCAAGGCAGGATGATTCCAGTGCAGTAGCATGAATTGGCATGCTCACCACCAAGTCGCGGCTATGTAGATGGACCGCGGCGACCAATGGAAAACCGCGCCGAGGGCTTGGGTTATGAAGTATAACCTGAGTTCAGCTCGGCTCTTGGCAATGAGATGAAGCATGTTGAAGCATGTTGAAGCATGAAGCAAATTGGGACAGCCCCCTTCCGCAAGACCTACAAGCGATCGAAGCCGTACTGAGAAAAACTGTCTTGCATTGTCTTGCATTGTCTTGCAGTCTTGCATCCTGGGAGCATGAACCCGACCGAACCGGATTGAAAACATCCAGCAGCCAGCGTGCACAGGAACAGCCCTGAGCCTTGGCTGGAAGCACGCGCACCCAATCACAGCTGCACTGATGGCCGGTCACAGTTGTCAGGGAATGATTGCTGTTTCTTCATGTTTAAGGCATTCACGCATCAGCATCATCAGTTGTGCACAAAACCCTCACACCACGAGACCTCCAAGGGCCCGAAGCTCTTTTGGAATGAATGACTTCCGGTCGCCTGGGAAATGCAAAACAAGTCTCCAAGATCAGGAATTAGCGGCGAGCACCGCTACTGGTAATTACAGCTTGTTCCAAATGATTTTGGACAACGCTTTGCCCCAAAAAATGCCCTGGTCCTCTGTCCCCCTTTTTGGGCCTGATTGTTTCTCCTTTGCGTCTTCTTTCGCACCTGCTGCTTCTGACTGCTCGACCTCAAGAAGCACAAGAACTTCTACTGTACATTCACATTCTAAGTATTTCTGCATCATCCTGCGTTCATCCACCTTGCAAATAACATCAAATAACAAAGGGTCCCCCCACAAAATCTATCAAAATCTGGAGGTGCCAAGGTCTCTGTATGTCTTAATTACTGATCCTGAAGAGGGCCCAGACACCCGCACCACGTCAGGGTCAAACCGGCTTCCCAACAGGCCGCAAGAGAACATCAGCAACGCTTCCAATAGATATAGAGTCTCCTAGGATGCAGCAGCGGGATTGAAACTGTAAAAGAATACTGGTGAAAACATGTGAAAACAACAGGCCATAAATTGAACTGCATCGTGGTTTGCAACTCTCATATTGATCATATATGGCCGAAACAAATCACCATGCCACCATCTTTAAACCTTTTCTTGCAACAAACCGTCATGATATGTGCAGCAAACCCAACATCTACCGACCAAGCGAACACATCAAGTCGAGACTCCCAAGTGGCAATCCCCGTGGCACGGGCCAAGCCGCCAATCACCTTGAGCAACATATGATCCAAACCAAGTGCAAAATGTATGAAACTGTAGTGTAGCAGTAACAAAATCACACAGTGTCAAATAATATTTATATCAATTCAAATATTTCTAATATAATATTCGATCTGTGACAGGCCGAAGAGAAATGAGATTCTGCAATGACACAATGAAGTGTCACATCAACAACCAGGTGGGGCCAACAATTAAGCATCTCATCAAGGAAATTCAGGCTCAGGAAGCCACATAGCCGCTTACAATTCCTGTCAGCAGCATTGCATTGATTCCGGCCATCCACAGCGTTCGCTTGTCAGTGGGCCCATACCTGCCACACAGTGTGCACAGGCTGCCTGACTCATAAGAAGGACGTCTGCCACCACCACTAGTGCCGACGCTTCCAGAACAAAATGAGTGTCTCAAACCAAATAATAAGTTTTTTGTTGTTTGCAATGATACCCAGCTCCAACTGGCAGGGCCTTTGATTGTGACACTTGCAAAAGGATCCAGTGAACGTAATACCAAATGATGCAGCTCAGGGAATGCACACCCTCAAACGAGCATATAGGGAATCAACAAATACTCTTATCTTATGGATCAAAAAATCTTCCCGCGGCATCAACAAGAAAATATTGTCGGATCAAAAACACATTATTCATTATTCCCCATCTGTAGTAGCAGTACTGACAGTAACAGTAGCAGTAGCAATACCAATAGCAGTAGCAGTACTAGCAGCACCAGTGGCAGCAGCAGTACCATAGTAGCAGCAGCAGTAGTGGTACTAGTATGTAATAGTGATAGTAGTCGTAGTAGTAGCAGTAGTAGTAGTGGTGGTAGTAGTAGTAGCAGTAGCATTGTACTGGTAGCACTAATAGTAGGAGCAGTACAGTAGTAGTTGTAGTAGAAGTCGTATTATCATATTTACTTGAATTCATTGTGTTGGGCTGAAACATTTAGGATGTGTTTTAAACTTTATTTAGGGATGGGGTAAGCTTTATTAATGCTTTTTTTGAACTTTATTTAAGGTTGCTTTATGGTTGATTTTAAATTTGCATATATAAATGTTATTTATTCATTTCGGATCATTTCGGGTTAGTTTAGGGTATATTTAGGGTGTGCCTATGGTTGGTATTTGGGATCGCTTTTAGGTTTCTTTACGGTTGGTTGTAAGTCTTGTTGGTTGGCTGGTTAAGGTTTATTTAGGGTTGGTTTCAGGGTAAGGTTGGCTTAGTTTTTATTTAGGGTCGGTCTAGCTTCGAGTTTTTTAATGCGTGGTTTTGGATTTATTATGATTTATTTGGGGTTGGCTTCAGGTTTATTTGAGTTTGTTTTGAACTTGCTTAGTGACGGTTTAATGCATGATTAGGGTCGCTTTAGTGTTAATTTATATACGGTATATATATTAGTTTAAGTTAAGGCTTATCATTTAGAGCGGGCGTGTTTTGACTTTTAAGGACTGTGGTTTGGCGGTTTGGTGTTATTTAAAGGTTTGCTTCGGGTTTGGGGGGGGGTGGTTCAAAGTTTGCCTTGAGTTTCTGTAGGTTTGATGGATTCAGTGCTTTTAAGAATTGCTTCTACGCTTCCTACCTTCCTTCCTTGTAGTTCTTTAATTTATATTCTTTTATCGGAAATGTGTTTGTTTGATCCATCAAATATGTATGTCCTATAGATTTAAAGAAATCTCTCCCCTCACCGCTTATTTCAAAAAACTGCGACAGTCTGAAATCCGAAAACGATATTATCACACATGCAACTTGGCTCATGGGGCTGCCTGTTCACCCATGTGGGGTAGTGTACAGCAGCAAGACCCCAGCACAAGCCACCAATAGCGCGAGCTGCAACGAGTGTGTGCCTATAGCAGGCGTCTGTGGGATTCTTGGGTTCCACCACAGATGACAAAACTGGAAAACGGGGGAATAAGACTATTGAATAAAGATGGAATAAGATGGAATCAGTTCGGAATAAGTGTGTGTATATATATAATTATATATATATATAAATCCGAAGGCTACGGCTATATACTCCTGGCAGAAAATAAACCATCTTGTGATATCTTGTGTTCAGCGTTGGGTGGGGTGCAAACATGTTTGTTGGGGACAATAGGCATGTAGGCTACATGCACAGTAGACACCACATCCCAGTGCCAGTGCTGTCCAAGACTGGACCATGTTCGAAAGTATTGGAGTCTGGCTTGCAGCTCCATCATGTTTGAAAGACCTTGATGATCGAATCCCCAAGCAACAGGACGTTGGAGTCACCGCTATCAAGAATTACTGGAACAGTGTTCTGCTGTTTTGCTGCCAAATCGCAAGCTAGGTAGCAGCGCGCACGCAAGCGAAACTGCAGAAATCACAAAGTAACCAATGGTCAACACCTCAGCCGAAAAAAATATGCTTGACTTGTACGGATAGCAAATAGTAGTCGTCTTCGACGAAATGGATGCATGAGCAACCCTAGTGTTTAAAATCTCTTGGAAAATCATGGAAAATCCCTTGGTATGGTTGGTTGATGCGGATTTTCGTAATGGATTTTGATGGCTTATGACCGTTCCCTATGTAATCCAAGTCACAGTACCCGGAATTGGGTAGCATAACCATAACATACTATAACAATCTATAACATACTATAACCCCCTACAATCGTCAACCAACTTGGCTTGTCATATGGGAATGATAGGTACAGTCGACTGGTTTAGTTACATCATGTTTTCCCAAATCCATGCGTTTCCTCTGCGGAGAAATCGATGCGAGGGGGTCACAGCAGGGTAAAATAGATACATACATTTTACACGTATCGATGCGACTAAACCACTTGACTGTACTGCAGCTGTATATGTTTTGAATTGTTTTGAGCATTCACATGTATACAGAAGTGAACCAGGCTCTGTACTTCTGTGTGAGTTTTGGATCATTGGCGCTTTAGGAGCCATTCACGAATGGTTTTCAAGCTCCACCGTCTGATTCATGGCAAGGAGCAGAGAAGGGCGAAAAGCGTTTGAAGATTGCCTCAGGTACAAATTAAATTATATATATCAAATTATCTGATCACATCATATCAATTCATATCACATCAGTGAATTCGACTCTATGTCTATTGGCTCTTCCAAATATAACGCATGCCAATGGGCGAAACAAAAAGAGCGGCACACAATGAGCTCTTCGAAGCTCTTCGCCGACAAGTGGCCATGGCCAAAAGGCCGCTTGGAACAATTCCATAGTCTGGAGAACCTGCAACATTGCCCTGACTGGTGTAGGTCAGCTGCAGGCCTTGCGAACAGGACTGATCCACGTGCACTCTGCTAGAATGCTGTCTAATTGGCACAGCGGCACATTGTCAAGTGGCAGGACTTGCAGACCAAAAGTACAAGAAATCTGGGGATCGAGGTCATACAAAGCTCAAGGGCAGAAAATTGTTCATTACATCGATGCATCCCCTGCCTTGTCGAATGGCCGGCATCATAGATGCCACTACACCAGCTTCAAATGAGCGAACTGCGGTGGACAGCAAAATAAACCCATAGTATCCTTAGACGGCAAGCAGCATCACCCAACACCATCTCGTCGTGCAAAGCATGCTTAGATGAAATGTATGTATAATGCATTATGATGAGAAGGAGCGTTTGTTTAGATCACCGAGGCGTGCTAAGCAAATTGACTCCACGACTCAAATGCACTCTCTGTTTTTAGTCAAGGATCTCTTCTGAGATTTTGTGTTTTCCGTGCCTCATACACTTCGGCAAGGCATCTCATGTGCACTGGATACAGAAAACACAGCAGCCTTCGCTCAAATAAGTGGAGTTTTTTACCGGCCTTCTGATGCAGAAACTATTGCTTTGCGTCTCTTCCGCTGCAACCGCCAACGTCTGTGCAAAAGAACTCCAGCACCGGCTAAGCACAGGTTCTGCTGACCTCAAGTTCCCGAAAATGATCCACAATGCCCATGGCATTCCTTCAGCTTAGCAAAGGCGTGAAACTGACACCAGGAAGCACACTACATCCCGTGCCATTTTTCTTGTATGGTCTGGTGGCCTCCACCTGAGACCTCACATTAAACCTGCTTGTGACAACCTCATCCATTGACAAACTTAATGCTGTCCGACGATCCGACTTCTGCCGTATTTTGCACAACCGAGTCACATCTGGATGTGATCCAGGGCGCTGCATCGGAAGCGAGCGGCAGCCGACGGTCTTTTGCAGGCTCAAGGGGCGCAGTGATGAGATAACTGCCCTGGAAGAAGCTGCAAATGGCTCATGCCGACCCGCGTGATACTTTGTTCTTTCTCTCCATATATATAAAATCATCCAAAAACAACGAGATAGATTGATATATATATATATATATGTGTGTGTGTGTGTGATAAGAATATACATTCATATGGGAGAGAGAGAGAGAGAGTGATAATAGTGGTAGTGGTAGTGGTAGTGGTAGTGGTAGTGGTAGTGGTAGTGGTAGTGGTGGTAGTAGTACTAATGTAGTACTAAATAATGTATATACATGTATAACTGCATATATAACATGTATATATATATATACTACTACCAGTACAACAACAAGAATAAACTACTACTAGCACCACTGCTAGTAATACTATTAATTACTAGTGCTTCTAGTACTATATATTACCATTACATACTATTACTACTGGTATATACTACTGGTACTACTAGTAGTACTAGTACTACTAGTACTACTAGAACTACAGTACTTTATACCTTTGCTACTATTACTACTACTACTACTACTAGTACTAGTACTACTACTACTACTACTAGTACTACTACTACTACTAGTACTACTACTACTACTGCTACTACTAGTACTACTACTAGTACTACTACTAGTACTACTACTAGTACTACTACTACTACTAGTTTTACTAGCAGCAGCAGTACTATAGCAGTAGTACACTTTGTAGTTTCCACACACGTGGGTTCAGCGTTAAACTTGGGGTTGAGTGAGTGGACCCGAGCCATTGACTCAAAGTAGTTCGAGAGATGATGAAGCCAAAACACTGTCCTTATGGTGGCCCTGATAGCCCACCTCTATACATGAGTATTATATATGTGATTGACATAAATTATGACCTTTAAAATTTTGGACATGCATCCCAAAAAAGGCGCCTGTTTAATCTGTTTTTCATGTCTGACTTAATCTGCCTGATATGTTCTGACCCATGCTAGTATGATGAATGATTGCAGGTGACTGGCAAAAGTATGGATCATCTCAAATGCCTCAGTGGATCCCGTGGCATAAAACTAAATGAAAAGCTCCAATCCAGAATGGTATAAGAGCACCACATAGCATCCAGTTGTGTTGCACATGTTTGCACCAACTGCACCTTCACGCCAGCGACCGGCGCAATGGGAGCAGCAAGCATGGGGACCAAAGCTAGGCAACTCGTAGCAGCTAAAGCTGGCTGTCATGCGCCACAAATCAATTAAGAATCAATGGGCCAATTGGTATCATAAGTATTCATAAGTCAGGTGCAGTCTTCACTTTTCTTCCGCTATAATCGCTATATATGTCTTGCATATGCACACTGTGGGACTCAAATCAGGAGCGTCTTCGGATGCCATGATTGCTAGTCAAGTCATCTAGAGTGCCCTTGCATTGCAGCATAGTGCTTTCTTGGCATCGCGCCTATCCTGAAAACCAAACCGAGAAACTTCAGATATTGGAAAAGCCCAGCGACCTATCTAGTCAGTGAAAGTTAACATAAGTTGAGACTTTGCGACCGAATCTATGTTGCACAGCTCTTACGAAAAAAATGCAAGGTCAGCTCGAGCCACGGAGAGTTGTGGCCGGCAGGCCAGATGATTTGTGGGACTTGTTCTGCTGGCCAACCTCCACTCTAGAGAGTCGAGCCCATATGAATTTTGATGAACCATTTTCCTGCAACTTCGATACGGCTTGCTCAGATTCCTCAGGCACATTGCATTGGTCCACTTGTATTCCATAGAGTAGTCAGTAGTAATCCCGTCCCCCTAATATAAAACACACCCCAAGAAATCATGGTTTAGTAAGGGATTCGCACATATTCGGGACCATTTTGGGGGTGGTTAATATTACGGGGATTATTTCTGCTTCATGTCCTTTCCTTCCCCTTCCACGGCAATTGGTCTCAACATGTCTCAACCATCCCAAAGCCTGAGGGGCCGGACGCAGATGGGTGGTCGCAACTGAGCTCCTCAGACCTCATTCCCTCCACATCAGTGGAGCATCGCCACTGAGTGGTTTGTGCTGGTAATGCTTCAGTGACGCAAGCTTGCATGCGGGAGAACACTGGGAGTCGGGCCAAGAGAATTCCTTGGTGTGATAACAGTTGTAGACCCAAGCGACCCCAAGGTCTAAACACTCCCAAAAGAAGGCAAGAATCGATGAATCGATGGCAATCAGAACTCAAGGCAGAAGTGTCTGGCAATTCGGCTCCTTATCTGCAGCACACGCAGCGAATCTTTTAGACCGAGTGGCCTGTGACCCTGGAGGTGTTGGACGTCTGCCTTGCAACCGTCTGCCTGGCGACATTTCAGGTGACTCACAACTCTTTACATCAACAGAATTTGTACCCAACTTTTCCGAATCGTGACGTTGTGAGGCTTGTGGGAAAATAGGATTGCACATGCGACATTTGAAATCAACTACTTACTTGTCCATGACAAGCTCAGTTCAGCCGTTGAATCTCAGCACACAACAGAAATGACCAGCCAGGCCCACCAAAAGCCAAACTGCTTGATGGCGCTTGGCTGAGGCCACTGTACAATGCCTGTCCGCAAGACGAACTGGAAACACCAGTCCAAACACCCCGCGGAAAAAAATCCTGTTCACCATGGTTCACAATGTCCACATATGTCCACCATCTCGTCACTGATTTCAAACCCTGCTTTACAAAGGGCCGCGGGCCTCCTGCTCATGGGGAAGCAAAGTCCTCAAACAGGGCAAGATGATCTGCTGAAAAAGATTGAAAAAGCACTTCTTCTGAATCAGGAAACAACTCAAGACATCAAGCGCATAAGACATAAGACATAAGAGCTCTACCGCAGTGGCTGTGCTGGAGACAATGATCTCGGTGGAGACCGCGGTTCACGTGACCTTGCCCACTGCTGTTTTTTTTAAGTTGCCCGAAGCATTCGACGCTCACAGCTCCGTGACTCCAGTTTCAAAAACTGACTGAAGTTTATATAATGTGTTTTAACATGTTTTAAAGCAGATTCGCAGCTTAAAATCGAGCACACAAACGCAGTCGCAAGGACATCAAGGGAAGTGCAGAGAGTGAGGAATGGTGTGATGTCTGAGGCGGCTTCCGATTACGTTTTTCAGACGAAGCTCTCGGCCTTGGATCCGTTGCAACATGGGACTCAAGACTGTCGGCATTCCCCCAGCCTACACACCCCCTCACATGAAAGGCATAAAGACATTTTAAATCCGAATTTTGGCTAAATTTGTTCAAAGATGTTCAAAGCTCAAACAGCTCAAGCGGCCAAAGTGAAATTGCCAAATTAGCGTTTCCGATCTATTCGGCGTTACTCCGCTATTTTGTATATTTTGTTGCAAGGACATCTAAAGCCCAGGTTGAAAACTTTGAGCCTCTTCTGCCGATAGACACTGCAGTTCGAAAACAACTTCTTTATACTTCTTTCGTAAATGCAGCAGCTGGATTGATTGACCTGAGGCACAAGCTGAGCTGGTCGCGAAGAAACCTTAGACAAAACCATTGCCCAGTGACTGCTGCTGCTGCTGCTGCTGCTGTTGCTACTGCTGCCGCTGCAAATGTAGCATGACACAACATTTTCTTTGAAAGAACTTTGAACATCTAGTGCGAACTTCCATGACTCCTGCAGTCCTGCGAGCCTGGGTTTGTCGAATTTAGTCTATGCAGTGCAAAATTATGTAATGCTGCAGTAACTTGCTTGCATCAGCAGATGGCAGAAGATTATAATAAGTTATATAAAGCCTTTGTGGTGTACAGAGTGGCTTTCTTGCCATGGAAAGCCGTGAGTTCCCGGCATCCGATTGCGATGGATAACCTGGCTAAAAACATCATGGAAACATTCAGCCAAACATCAAAAAAATCTGCATGGCTCCAGGGTAAGGCCGATAATTTCAATGAATTCGATAACCGACTTCAAAATCTTCAAAGAAAGCTCTTTCTGCACAGGCTCACTACAGCTTGGTGGTCCAAGAATTGCACTGCAGCTTCAAATCTACTATCTTCACCCAGATCTTGCCTGGAGTGACTTTTTCAGCTGCCTGGAAAGAGACCAGGAGCCCATCTTAACCCCAGCAGTGCAGAGGCCATGCCATTGATCGGATGTCCATCAAATTTGATCACAAGTTGCAGCACAGCGTCACCACATCGCCGTATGCTAAGTCCCTGATATTCCCTGATTGCAGTTTACAGTAATCAGATCCGAACATCCCAGCAGCGCCTTCGCCTCAGCTGCCTCGGCCTTCTTTTCTGCCGGCGGCGTTGGCGAAGTTTCCTTGTCAGAAAGGTAAGAAGAATTAAGTATAGACACATCATGACTCCAGAGTTCTCTCTTCCTTTGCGCGTTGTATCTAGATGCGCATATTTTAGGAAAAATTAGCCTCAAGATGTCTCAAGATTTCGCACCCACTTGACTATCTTGACTGTGAAATGCTGCATAAACCTGCCTCGCACTCACCTTCATCCACCGTCTCCAAGGGACCAGATGATAGGCTTCGAACAAATTCCGAGCCTTGCCGAGGTTTTTGTCCCAATGCCGGCGCAGCCACACGGCATTCAGCAACTCGATGGAGATTGGTGCATTACGTCGCTCGCAGAAAAGGCCGTTCAAATCGGGGGGCTATGGAACATATGGAACCGGCCATGAATTACATAGTTATATAAGATATGTTAAGATCAAGATGATCAAGATGCTGATTTATACTTCCAAACTAAACGGTGACAATGTACGTATGATAATGGTGTAATTAAATAATAAATAAGGACAATGACAAAGGTCTGCCCTGCCAGTCGGACCCCACCCCAAACGGATATGCCTCGATGAGGCATGCCTTGGCAGTTCGGATTGGAATTGGAGTATCATTTCCAAACATCCATCTACTGAGGCGCCTTTATGCACTCAATTCTGCTCAAATTAGTCCAACATAGTCCAAGTGACTTACTACAGTAAAGCTACAGCAAAACAAAAACTATCAAGAACTAGCAAACAGAAGCGAAGGATTTCACACTGATGTCATGTCATCTGCTGAGAAGGTGGCTTAGGTTGCTCGCTTGGGTCTGTATTCCTTCGCTTTGCACCTTGCCAGAAGCTGCTCCACAGAACGCTCTTCTGCAAAGGCTAGGTTCAGGCGTTAACTATAGAATCAAAACTGATGAACGATGGTGAATGTTGATCAACCTTGCCAAATGGGCCAGCGACTCTAATATCATCTATATACTCTGATTATCTCCGATTTCTTTTACTTGTGAAAATGGTGCACCAATGTGCACCACGTGAAGGAAGGCCATCTGGCTTGAGCACTAGAACTGAAAGCTTTCAAAATAATATAATTGTATACATATTGAAATATATTGAAATATATTGAAGCTGGTAATCTTGGCATATCTTTATCGTGTTTTATCCAAATGGCAATGGCATGCAATGGCATTTCTGAAGCGATCCCAATCTGCTCGTCCTTTCCGCGCCTCCGGGGCTTCACGTTTTGCACCTGGAGGCCGAGCAGCACCTCGTTTCTGAAAGCACTCGCTGAGAAATGCTGAACACATTAATGTCATTATCACATAGCATCACTGTAGTATGCATTAGTTCATATTAATTGATATTAATTGATATTAATTGATATTAATTGATATTAAAAAACTACGCATCCCAAATGGAAGGTTGGCAAAAATGGATCACACCGGGCCAAAGATGGCCAAAACACATTGCCATCCTGTTTGACTGCCTTGTGAGAATGTGGTTTGGGACTCTCACTGCAAAATCACAGCCCAGAAACTGATGAAAGAATCAAAGCGAGCAAACAGTTTGCGCCCCAAATATTCCCAAATAATCTCCCTGTTGCGGCCGTTTACCCAGCTCAGCATTCCCTACCAGTCGGTGAGGTTCCTACTGAAGACAGGGGTGTCATCCCGCGGCGGATCCTTGCCAAAGGGAGGCTGTGCAGGGATTGATCAAAGGCATCAACTCGCAGTCGGGGACTTCCATGGGCTTCCTACACCTTCAAGAAAAGCTGCCATAAGCTGCCAGGCCTTGAATTCAGACAGCACACAGCTGAGGCCACCTCAAGTTCTGGCACGGAGAAATTTTCTCGGATTCACCCCTGGGTCTACACAATGCTCTTGCCACTTGCAGTTCAGCCATAGGCTTCACTGCCTCAAATCACAAATCCTCTATGCATGCATTCCGGGTTGTTGAGTTCTTCCAGGCATCCGAGCATTGGATGTTGGTATCCCGAACCCACCTGGGTTGAGCCTGTGCCAGCATGGCTGGAATGCTTGCAGTAAGTGGTGCGCCATTGTGCTGTGCCATTCATCGGCCCAGGGATTGGCAAAAGCAGTCGGTCTGTCTAAGTGAAAGACATCATCAGGTGGAGGAGTGCCCACAGGCCTTATCACCAAAAACCCTCGATTCCTTCTAATTAATCATAAAGACAGGGCTGCCAGATTGCGTGTATATAGACATCTAACAATGATTAAAGATCAAAATAACTGCAGCAACTGCAAGCAACTGCAAGTACCTGCATCTAGCATCATCTAGCAAGCAGGTTCGTGGCACCGAGTACAATGAAGCCACTCTGCGGCTGTGGCCACATGCAACGCACCAAAAACTGGACATGCCACACAAATATGCAAGATGTGACGCAGGCCGTCCAAACACTGAAGGCATTTTGGTGCATTTTGTTTCTCTTGCTCTCTCGGTAGCTTGTTGTTTCCCTCACTGGTACTTTGATGCGTTGTGGTTTGCTCCAGCGACTCCAGTGTCTTTGAGCCTGCCTTTCTATGCCTTTCTTATCCTTTCCTCCTTCGTCTCTCGATTGTTTGTCTGGTCTGCACATGTCTCTACACTGTCTCTACACCTTGTTCTAGTCCTGACTTCCTGCTGAGCCTGCTGTGCTTCCTCCTTCTCTCACGGCTCCCTGGCTCAGTGGCACATGTCCTTCAGCCTGTCCTTCCGTCCTGCTTCTGAATCTTGACCAGTTCATGCATGCTTCAGTCTCTTTGCATCATAAGTATAATTTGTATAATGCTCTTACCAACGGAATCAGAGCTCTTGGATGCTTAGCATGCTTGGCAGTGGGGCAGTCGAGTTCTGAAGCACTCAAAAGAAAGCTAAAGCACATTATGTGTAATGCCTTCCCCTAGGTTCCTGTGGCATCAGTCAATCAAACATCGACTGCTTAATCATGCTGAGACAAAATGAATGAGAATTTGGTGAGATTTGTGGCACATTGTGGCACCAAATGCTTGATTCTACATCTTCTACAGCTAAACTGTCCATCAACTGCATTGTAGTCGGCATCAGGAGCCGGCCCGAACTGCACCGCCTGTTTTCCTGGCGAGGGCGCCTCGAGCATTGCATTCACTTTTCAAGTTTAAGTTGGTGCGATGATGAACTCCACATGCCACGCAGAACCGAAAGCAAGGCGAAAGGGGCGAAGGAGAGGCAGCACTAATGCAACTCACTCACAGTTGTAATCCCCGGGAAGTAGCTACCACTCTTCTGGGTGCCAGACTGCCGCTTCCATTTCTCGATCGTCCCAACTCAGTCCAAACATGCTCAAGCACAGTTTTGCATCATTAGTGAAGAGGTTTCCAGATACTCGCAGCAATTCAGAGCTAAAGCTAAAGCAATGATAGTCCCTGTGCAGGTCCTAGTCCTAGGGTGAAACTGTGGAGCCTATCACTGACCCGCTCTGAGAAGTTAAAGCGACATGTGCGAAATTCATCATGCAGCTAAACTAAGCACCTAGTTGGATTGGGATGGGTTTCAAAACAAGACGGAGATACAGTACATCTCTTTTTCCGCCATCTGCGAACGATACTCGTGAACTACCGTGCGTTAACTTGGACTGGTGCCAACCTGTGCGACGGAAATGGCAATGACAAGTGCAATGGCGGAAGCCAAACACACCTGGACAAGGTCGGTCTTGAATCTAAACGGACCCTTGCGATGACACCGGGAACAAATCCCATGGTCCATGGCAATCGATCGGCATTTCAAAATATTACTAACCAAAATAAAACGTGCACGCATCCACATAAAGTACTATAATTATAATTTATTATACACTTGTCTTTGCCTGTTATGGAGTAAATTATATAATGTAAATTACAAACAATACAAACTGATTGATCTGACTGGACCGTCCAGAATCAAAAAATATCAGAAACATCTTTCCCAGGCCTGGCTGCTTCCCGGTGTAGATGATGGTTTGCCCACTGCAGTCGGTCCTTCTTGAAAGGTTTGAAAGCTACGTCCTGTCGCTGCACTGGCACTGTGAACTGGGGCGCTGGTGGCCGATGTCCCTGTATTCATGACCTTGGCACGAGCAAGTGGCATAAAGTTTTGAAACTTTGATTGACAATCCACTGGAGCAAGCTGAAAAAAAACACAGAAGTTGTCCAATCAGTCAGAGTCACCGCAGAGAAAAGTGGATCGGAAGCCAGTTGACCATTGACCCGCGCTTGATGCAACCTCCAGGTCTGTGCAGCAAGCCACACCGCAAGCACCACATTCAGTGAGGATGAAGAATGACTGTTCATAAATGACCAAACCTTGCGCGACAGTTTCAGAGACTTTGAGCATGTCCATTCTGTCCATTCAAACATTAAGACAAAGTGGGGATAAGCAACAAACCAAGAAACCGAAGGGATCTTTACCATCTCAAGAATGCTCGACTATTTAAATCCTCCCTCCAAAATATTACAGCAAAAACGCGCTATCTTTATATCTGAGGAACGCTTAGAACCACCACCCCTGCCAGTGCAATTACAGAGAAAATCACGATGATTTTCGCTGCATGTCCAGGGTCCAGCCCCCGAAGAAGAAGCAAACTTGCAAGAATACGAGAGCAATCCAAGGGAAAACAAGGAACCAACAAATTAAAAAGCCTCGATTCGGTCCAGCACTGAAAGAAATAACATCATGGCAATAAAAAAAAAACAAAGTTCCTCCCTAATTAACAGGAAAACTGCACTAAAAAATCAAAGGTAATAACGTGGAACAACTAGCAAAATCTTCTTGATCAAATGCAGGGTTCAGCATCACAAGGTTGGTATTCAACATCGCGATGCAAGTCAAGCTGCCGAAGTTGCTATCCTTGTCGCTGCCCGACTTCGCATGAGGTAAGCAAACAATCTGTGGGTTCTGTGCAGGAGTGCATATCTCATTGTATCTATTTATAACTATAGATATAGATACATAGAACCTCTACCTCCGAATGTATTCTAAATCATTCTAAATCATTCTAAATCTGGTTCTGGCCGTGTGGTCGATCCTACAGTGCTTCATGAGTCCAGTCATCCTGGACAGGTGGATGAAGCATGACCTCATTTCTTCTATCAGCATCAAAGTTCCAGCAAAATGACCCAAAAATACAGCAAAACAAAAACAACTCTAGTCCAAGCGCGCGCGTGCGCATGTGTGTGTGTGTGTTTGTGTGTGTGTGTGGGTGCGTGCGTGCGTGCGTGCGTGCGTGCGTGCGTGCGTGGGTGGGTGGGTGCGTGGGTGCGTGGGTGCGTGGGTGCGTGGGTGCGTGGGTGCGTGGGTGTGTGTGTGTGTTTTTTTTTCCAACACTCCTTTTTATGTCTGCAAAAGGTTCGTGCCAGCCAGCATAGCACAGTGGCTATGGTTCCATTTCGGAATCCTTTGGCTTCTGCTTCCACGGCATTCTATGGAGAAACAAATTGAAAAGGTTGGTTTTCATGGCTTCTTTGGAGAAAAGGCAAAAGGCAGGCTTGCATTGCCTGTTGTTGGTCCGTCCATCTGGTTTGCATGTTCAGTGCATGGGCTAGGCAGGCATGTAGGCAGCTGTGATATCCTGCAGTGGTTGGCGCAGGTTATATCGGTGCAGCCGAATGCAGTCTGTTCGGACCATCCATATCACTGTGGTGTTGCGCAACATCCATGATGGAATACGCCAGGTCGGCGTTGGGTGTACCCAGTCATCTGTGAGCAACCATTCCGCAGGTGTGGTCATGTCCACCAACGTTGGAGCCAGCTTCAATCCAGCTCTGTAGTGGCCGCCTTGGTCTTGGCCAAGGTGTGCCATCAGCGCCACGGGCTGATATTCCACAGGTTCATGTGTCAGTCCAGCTCCTTGAAAAACTGGTACTATGCATGGTGTGTCAATGTTGATCATGCAGTCGCTCTTGTGAATCCTGCCTGTGTTGTCCCTGGTCAGTCTGTCTATGTGAAGACAAAGGCATACAGGAGCCGTGGTCAGAGCGGCTTGCATTCCGTCCACCTGGCGCCAGAGGCTGAACAGTTGGGTGAGATCACAGCTATTGGCAGTTGATGTAGTGGCATCCATGTGCAACCAAAGTGGTGTGTATTTGCCACTGCTATCCACGATGCAAACGCGATCATTTTCCATGTATCTGCGCTCCCAACGCATGTCAAAAGCTGGCGTGGCCATTTGAGTGAGCCACACATGAAGAAACTCAGTTGCATCCTGCTGCGTGATATCATCAGAATCGACGGCAGGATCCTGTTGTCCCCAGCAACGCAAGGTGTCCTGAAACCAGTCTTGTTCCATGAGATTGGCATGAGTGGCATAATTGGCAAGAAGGAAAGACGTCAGCTGGTGGCGTTGCTTACCCCAATAGTTGAAGTCACATGGGTCCAAGGACAGTGTTGTCCACATGAATGTAGTGACTGCAGAATTTGCAAAACAAATATTGCCTGGATTTTCCAGGGTGAGAAACGCCACATGTGTGAGAAGGTGTCTCATGTCATGATTGGTCAGGTCAGGCATCGGAGTCATGGTTCCTCCTTCTTCGCAGTCTGGCCTTTGGATTTCGTCTTCCCTTTCCCCTGTCCTTTCGTTGTGGGCTGGGTCAGTCCCAGCGTCTTCTGCAATTGGTGCGCCAATGGGCTCTGTTGAAGGCTGTGCATCTTCAGTGAGCCTCCCATGGTCAGCCAGATGGCTGAGTGGCATAGCAGTCGCATCAGTTGCCAGGGCTGGTCTGCTCGCATGCTCAGCTGCAACCTCCATGGCGTCACTTCTTTGTTGTTGGTCATGGGCAGGGAGTGGAACCTCATCACCAGATGAACGTCGCTCAGAGCTTCCAGCATGTCTGTGCAGATCTGGTGCAGGTGTTTCAGCGTGAGTGGTTTGCGTTGACTCACCCTCAGCTGTCTGGCCTGCGCATCCCATTCCAGGTATGGGCATGTTCCATCCGGCAGCAAGACCAATGTCTGCAAGGCCCGTGTCTTCAGGTCCGAGCCCTCCTTGGCCGTGGCCAGATGGTCCAGCTTGGTCAGCAGAGTGTTGAAGACCACCTGCATCAGCTTCAGGCGCAGGGGGAGCATCGGCGTCTTCTGCTGGCCCTGTCGGTGCTGCTGATGTTCCTGGGCCCAGGTCTCTGTCGTCTGCATGAGCAGGTTGATGCAGCTGTCTTGCCCTTTGTTGCCGAAAAAGAAGATGTAGGTGTCCTCCTTCTTCATCAGCTGCATATCCCTGTCCAGCTTGAGCGCCAGTTTTGCCAGCTGTGACATTGCGAGGGCCAGATTTACGTTGTTGGCCATGGTCTTTGGGTGTGTCTGTTGGGCCGGTTCGCCTTTTCTTGGCCTTTTGGGCGGTGCCGCATTCTGTTCCAACTTGAGAGTCTTGTCCAGGTAGGGTGCCATGTGTTGGAACGCTGTCCAAATCTGTGCACTCATCTCCAGGGACTCGTTCATGTCTTCGTCGGCCATGTCTGCCATGTGCAGCCTTGCTGAGGATGACAGCTGTTTGCAACAGATTTGGGCACTGGGCTCGAAAGTGAGCTTGAACCGTCTGGGTGCGGTCAGGTGCACTGTGCGTGACAACATCCTCAGGGTGAACACTTGTTCACATGCATAGCACTGAAAGTCTGTGGCCTGTAAGCTCATGTATCTCGTCAAGAGTTGGTGCATCAACAATCGCACAAGAGGCTGACTACAGTGGTGCACCTCATGCATGTGAATCACTAGGTCGGCAGGGTGAAGCTTGGCAGCGCAGAGGACACAGTTTTGCCTCAGAATGTCCACAATGGGTGGATCTTTCCAGAGTGCTTCAATGTTGCCCCCAGTGAGCGCCCTTTCTAGGAGGAAACGGTGTTCCCGGTCAAGCTTTCTGGAAAACATCTGGGCAAGTTCATCTTCCGTTGGAACATGTGGATACAGCAGTGGGTCCGGCAGGCGCATGAACAAAAGTGCTAACTGGCGCAGTGGTACACACACGTGATGAGGTCTGAAGTTCCCAATGTTGGGGTTGCATAAGCAACCTGTCTCATTGTACAGGAGTTCCACTAAAATTCCCGTGAGTCCTTGAGCCATCGACCATAACTTGTCATGCGAGGCCTGGAGGTGACCTGAGAGGTCAGATGCTCGGCTGTACCGGCATCGGCAGTGCTGGCAGTGAAGAGACAGCTGCATTCTCACATGTGGGTCCCTGAGTGTGTCTGCAAGTTTGCCATGACAGAGAGCGTCAATCCATTGTGGTCTCACTTCCAGTACTTCCGTTGGCAGTTCCGGGTTGAAGCTGAGGCATCTGCCCTGGCTTATGTGAGAGCGCAGAGATTCGACATTGTCATACATGGTGAGGCAGTGTGCGCACACCGGCTCTCCATCCAGTGTGTCTCTGGCAGCATTAAAGCTGTTGCTCGGCAGCCGGTGCTCAGTGACAAGGTGCGCATGCAATGCTTCACTGGTCTGAAAGTGCTCCATGCAGATTTCACACCTTTGTGCCAGTGGTGTCTGTGTGCCATCAATTTGGAGCCCGCCTCCGTAGATCAACATCATGGCCATCTGGACCCAGACGGGGCATTGGTGGCAGTTCTTGAAGAGTGCCCCGCAAAATGCGCATGGCGTCTCCTCCCCATAAAGGGTTGTCAGCTGAATCCCCTTTGCTTGAATGTGTGGCCAAAACTCTGGATGGTGCAACTTGTAAATGGCGGTTCAAGTCTTGGGTTCTGCCTAGGAATTGGTCGCAAAGACAACATCTATTGGCAAGGTATGTGCTGGCTGCCGTCTCCTTGCGCATGTGGTGCCACGAGCGGTTGCCCACTATGGTAAGGATGCGACGTCCCCACTCCTGATTCAAGATGTTGCGCAAGTCGGAATCTGTCAACAACGTGGTGCCTCTTACAGGAGCATCCTGCTTGGCCGCAAACATCTCAGGTGGCCTTGCTGGATCTGCTTCAAGGGGAAGCGATGGATCAAGCCAGCACGTTGGAGGACCCACAATGAGTACCTGGCAACCGCGTTGGATGTGCATGTGAAAGGTCCTCCAGCTGGTGAATGTCTGTTGGCAGAATTTGCACTGTGGTAAACCATGGTGCATGTACTGTTTCTGGTCAGCCGGTTGGCTGCGTGCCATGGGTTGTGCATGCATGATGGTACAGTGTCTGCGGAATTGCGCTGGATCAGTGGTGGCATAGGGACATTGCAAACATGTGTGAACTGCAGTGGGCACGTCAAGGGCACTCGGTTGGACAGGCTGCTCAGGTCCTGTTTGCAGGTGCCAGTCAATTTGGAATCTGAGTGTGTCCAGGTGGCTCCAGTCCAACAAACAAATAATGTCACTGGGGTCTGTGTTGGCAAGGCGTTGGTTCAGAGACTCCTGCAGG